CGGTTGGGCACTGCAGGGATACTTTTCGGTTGGGCCCTGCAGGGATATTTGGTGGTTGGACACTGCAGGGATACTCTGCAGTTGGGCACTGCAGGGATACTTTGCGGTTGGGCACTGCGAGGATACTTTGCAGTTGGGCACCGCAGGGATACTTTGCTGTTGGGCAGTATAAGGATACTTTGCGGTTGGGTTGCAGGGATACTCTGCGCTTGGGCACTGAGGGATACTTGGGTTGGGCACTGCAGGGATACTCTGTGGTTGGGCACTGCAAGGATACTTTCTGGTTGAGCCCTGCAGGGATATTTGATGGTTGGTCACTAAAGTCAGCTTCCAGTCGGGCAAGGACAACATCTACTTTAAAATCTGACAGCCCCACTGCGAGGGTGGGGAACAAACACTTTGAATGCAGTATGGGTCCTTGAGAACTGCAAATAAAGTCAGACCGACTGGTTTCACAGTTTGATGTTGGTGTGCTACTTGCAGACAGGGATGAGCGTATGGGCCCATTGCATGGCCGTGTGTGTGAGCTTATGTAAAGGCGTCTAGACTCCTGGCGCGTCTAACCGGTTAACCCGAAATGCCAAGGTCTCCACGCCAGGGTCAGGGCTATGAGCCTTGATCAGAGCTATAGTCTAAACTCCTTAAAGGACTTAAAGGTTGGTTTTATAGGGGCTATGTAGGGAAGTATTTTTGGGGTTATTAAGGGGGATACGACGAGTTCAGACTATAGTTCTTATGAAGTAGCGACAGAAAGCCATGGGGCGTCAAGTGGGTCGGTCTGATGAAGCATGTGACATCAGGGGTGCAGGGTTAGGGTGTTACAGACCTTAATCACCGGATTTGGCAGGCCAGCATTTCGCCGCTGCCGGACATTCTTGAGCCAGCTGGTGGACAACCAGACCTCCACCGTCAAGACGCTGTACAGGTTCCGGACATGGCTCGTCATCTTCAACGCCGAGGTGGTCCGCGTCGTCAGCAGCACAGGATGCAGCAGCCTGCAGCCAGTCACCATTCTGACCTCCAAGATCGCCCTTGACATCATGAGTTCCTGACGCTGCGTTGCCCTACTATGCTGTCAGGTTGACACTACGACGGAACCAACAATGGATTTTGGGGGAGAGGTGCTGCATCCTATAAGTGTCGGCTTGTTACGCACATTTAGCAGAAAAGTGTTTTAATATCTGGGTTAAGGGTATAACAAATCCTAGACATGGAAGAACCCGAGTTATGACCAGGCACACTGCGGTTTCTGGTGATAACTGTTATCCCGAACACCACTTTTTTTAGTATGCCTGCCTATCAAGGTCCTTAGGCCCCCCCAAGCCATCCCTAATCGCGCGGTCTCTCTTTTTAGGGTTCGTCTGTACTTCAAAACCCTTCATAAGGGTATAAGGCAAACGTGTCATTGTTTAGAAGGGTTCTACACAGGAATGTAAGCAGAACAAAGGAGAAGTCTATTAAAAACCTCACGAGACTGAACATACAAAGACCCAAACCACCTCAACTCTCTAAAGACTCACGTTGAACAACTGAGCTGTAGAGTCTCAATCACCAACGGAGCCCGACCTCGAAGCCTTTGGGGTTAAGGTTTAGGGCTGCAGCAAGAGTTTGGGGAGTAAGCCATTAACATTAAACCTTTAGCCTCACGCAGAAGAAGCACAACCCAAGGCCCTAACCCCCAGCAGCAAACGCTTAATCCTAACCCTAACCTGCGAATCCTAGACAACCTCACACAGATCCCTAGACTCTCAACCCTAAACGAAAAGGTTACGAACGCTGAGAACTGAACATAAAATCCAAGAGTCTAGACCTCCTAGCCTTTCACAGAAGGCCCTTGAACACAAAGCCGCGAACCCCAAACAGCAAATCCGCCCCAAGCCCTGAATGGTACGCAGAGCACCTTAAATCCTCAATCCTAAGCAGCAATTCCTAAAGCTAAACCTTTTCCCTTATACTTATAACCCTTAACCCTAGAACCCTAGACCCTAAACCCTAGAAATCCCTAGCACTAAACAGACACCAGCCCCAAGGTGCAAGCCGGGGCTGACTACCAAATTGTGGACCTTCTGAGGCTCTAGGGTTAGGGTTTAGGGTTTCAGGGTTTGGGGTTTGGGGCTTAGGGTTTAGGGCTTAGGGTTTAGGGGCTTTTGTTATGGAATTTCGGCGTCCATAGGTTTCCTTCGGAAAATTAGATGGCGTACGTTCTGGGCGTCCGATTCGGGGGGGGCACGAATAAAAAGCATGGGTCATTGGCATAATGGGGCTCCCCCTGAAGGTTTTTCACAGGCTCATGTCTGGGTTGTATCCCTAAGGTCCAAGTCCTTAATCATTGGGTATTTGGGATGTTGGTAAAAAAACGGTGGATACTAAAAGTCCTGGATGACCCCAAGTACCTTACTGTTGAGGTCATACAAGATTGTTACATATGTTTTGTTTTGACAGTTGTAATTGTCGTGCAGGTTTGGGGGAAGTATATTTTGTTATTTGGTACTTGGACCCATATAGTGATACATTATCACAAGGGCGTATTTGGGGTTAGCTTGTCGGAGTACTTCTCACAAGGATTGTCATGCGCTGATGTTAATCAGGCAGACATTTCTTGTTGCAACCCTTAGCCCTAAACCCAAAACGCTCAGCCCGGAACCCTAAACCCTAATTAAACCCAAAAGCTTAAGTCCTAAGCCCTAAACCCCTAAACCCAGAAGCCTAAACCCTAAGCCCTAAAGCCCCAAACCCTAAGCCCTTATAAACCATGTCCACGCCAAACTAGGGGGATGCTCCGGTGACTAAGTGGAAAGGGGGGCACACGGACCTAGACGTAAAGGGTGACGGTAGAGCTGCTACTAGAATATAATGCGGTATCTTATAGGATAGGTACCCGCTGGGGTAACATAGAGTTATTGGAAAAGAAAATGGAAATGGGTTTAGGACAGTGTTACTATGGGGCTACTATGGGAGATGGCATAACACCTGGCTTCAGAGTCACTCTAAACCTAGACCTTCCTCCTACCCTCTATTAGGGCCTAAGTACCCACGATTAGGGACCATATATCCCCAAATAAGGGTACAAGGAAGGCCCTGGAAGTAAGAGTCCAGTTGCTCAAGCACTCGTCAGCTCGACTGTGCGACATGGTGACAAATTCTACCACACCTGATGATCTTTGTCCAGACGTCCTTTCCAGGACCTCCTTGTACGCTTAATTGGGATATATAGTCCCTAATGGTAGGTACTTAGGCCCTAATTGAGGGTAGGAGGAGGGTCTAGGTTCATGAAAATCCTGTCAACAAGCTGCCGCGAAGAGGATTTGAGGCATCTTTTCTCCAGGAGAAGCCAAACTGTACTAATTGGCCTACTGGATTCTATTGTCTCTTCTGCAAGCAACGCAACATGGCTCTGATAGAGGCATTGATGTTTTCCTAAACCCAAAGTTCGTCACTTGAGCAACTGGCATCCAGAACTTCGGCATGATCATCCGCGAGAAGATAGCACAGGGTTAGGGCCGGGTTTAGGGCTTCCAAAGTAGGATTATGATCTTGTTTCGTGCTTATCATGAATTTGTCGACTTCAGGACGGCAATGGGAGCTGGGGGCTTCTGCTGTTTTTGCCCTGACTATTTCTCGGAAAACCTTGAAACAACTTTGTACCAACTTGAAGACGAGTTTGCCATAACAAGACAGAAGTACATGATCCCTTCCCCAATTCCAACTCTGCGCCTTTCCGCAGCCCAAGAAGGAGAGTGCTGTCCTAAACCCTCAACGCTAAAACCTAAAGCCTAAATGCTAAACCCAAGATCTGAAAACCTAAGCCCAAAAAACCCTTAACCTAAGAAGGTAGGCATGGACCGATTCACCACCTAAACTAAACCAGGGCCCTCTTGAATCCTGAGCCTTAGGGTTCAGGATTTAGGGTTTTTAGTGGGGGGGTTTGGGCTTTAGGATCTAGGGATTTAGGGGTTTAGGGTGAAGGGCTTAGGAGCGTCAATATGAGCGCGAAACCCTAAACCCTACATACCTAAAACCTACACCTTGGGCACTGCCCCCCGTCACATAACAGTTGGATAATAGATATGATAGGGTTATATATATAGCCCTTAATAGGACCCCTAATATAGACTGTTACTGGGTGGGGGCAGTACCCAACCTAAACCTACACCTGAAGCCTTCGGAGGTTTAATGTACACAAGCGACGGAGCTCGGGTGCTGGAGAAAGCCATTGGACAAGAGATCCGATAGGGTTTAGGGTTTAGGGTTTAGGGGACTCCATGAGGGGGTTAGATAGGGTTTAGGGTTTGGGGTCTAAACTCCTTAAAGGAGGTTATATCGGGGAATATACAGGGCAGCAGTAGGGTTTATCAAAGGGGGCATACTGGGAGTTTAGACTATAACCCCTATAATCCCCTATATACTCACAATTTCCATTTCATGTTCATGTTCTTTTCCATTTGATTCTCCGTTATTGGGGGATGATATCCCTAAACCCTAAACCTAAACCCTAAACCATATACTTTAGGAATCCTTGAGGCACGACTTGGGGCTACATGGGGGTATTCAGGGGCAAGACCTCCCTAAACCAGAAATCCTAAACCCTAAATCATTAATCCTAAACCCTAAATCCCAAACCCCTAAGTCCTCAACCCTAAATCCTAAACCTTAAGCCCTCAACCCTAAACCGTGTAGGGACTTCAGAATA